CCCCAGCCGGTTCCACCTTCTGTGATGTCATGAGGGGCTGTCTGCTCTGTACCCCGGTGGCCCCCCCTGCACTGTGGGATTCCCACTGACTCACCCACTTACATTGGCCCAGACACCCAGTCCCAGCCTGGGCAGGGAACAAGGCTCTTGCCAGGGGAGAGACAAAGGGAGGGAGGTGGAGACGGACACCTGGCTGGGGGGCAGGGCAGGGGGCTGGGCAAACGAAGAGTATAGATGGGGCACTGGGGGTTCAGGGGTCTGGGTACCCCGGACCCAAGGGGGCTGAGGCTGAGGCTGCCAGCCCCTCACTCCTATTCCCACATGGAACCTGGGCCGCGCTGTATCTCCGAGGAGCAATAAACCCATTTGTACTCTACTTGTCTGGCTGGGGCCGGGGGTAGGGTGGGGGGGTCCCTGATGCACGGTCACAGCTTCTCCATCCATCCTTGTGCACCCCATGGCTCCACCCATCCCCCGACAATCCTAGAGCCCTGGGACTGGCAGGGACCTCGAGAGGCAGCGAGTCCAGTCCCCTGCCCCCACGGCAGGACCCAGCACTGTCTGGACCAGGGCTACTGAACTTTGGAAGCCCCGGGGACCATCACGATACTCACAGCACACGCCAAGGGCCACAACTTACGTGTGGGTGCATAGACATGCAAATCGATATGCAAATCAGAGAATCACAGAGCACTGGGACTGGGAGGGACCTCGAGAGTCACCAAGCCTAGTCCCCTGCCCTCATAGCAGGACCAAATACTGTCTAGACCAGCCCTGAGAGACATTTATCCAACCTGCTCTTCAGTATCTCCACAGATGGGGATTCCACAACCTCCCTGGGCAATTTATTCCAGTGTTTGACACCCTGACAGTTGGGAACTTTTTCCTAATGTCCAACCTCAACCTCCCTTGCTGCAGTTTAAGCCCATTGCTTCTTGTTCTATCCTCAGAGGCCAAGGAACAATTTTTCTCCCTCGTCCTCATGACACCCTTTTAGATACCTGAAAACTGCTCTCATGTCCCCCCTCAGTCTTCTCTTTTCCCAACTAAACAAACCCAATTCCTTCAGCCTCCCCTCCTAGCTCCTGTTCTCTAGACCTGTCATCATTCTCGTTGCTCTTCTCTGGACCCTCCCCAATTTCTCCACATCTGTCCTGCCATGCGGGGCCCAGAACTGGACACAATCCTCCAGCTGAGGCCTGAGCAGCGCGGAGCAGAGCGGGAGAATGACTCCTCGTGCCGTGCTCACAGCACACCTGTTAATGCAAATATGCCTTGTTCCCAGGGTCCCACCCATGGGCCGTGTGTTGGACCCGTGTAAACCCAACCCGCTCAGCGGGCTTCGAACAAATGGGCCGCGTGTTGAGTAGACCTGGTCTAGCCCATCCCGAAGGGCGTCTGTCCAACCTGCTCGTACATATCCCCAGGGATGGAGACTCTAGAATCCCCCTGGGCAATTTACTCCTGGGAAGGGGCCGGCGTCCTGGGAGCAGCCGCTGACCTGTGGTGGCGTCGGTGGAGAGGGGGCCCAGGCGCTTGCGGCCGGACACGCCGTAGAGGTTGAACTTGTACCGGCGGGAAGGCGCCAGGTTGGGGACGGTGACCGTGCGGGATCCTCCGTCCACGGGCAGCGCCTGGGGCTTGCCCTCCGCGTCCTTGTACTGGAGGAGGAAGGAGTCGAAGTCCCCGGCCGGGACGGTCCAGGAGAGCCGGACAGACTCGTGGGTGACGTCAGAGGCCGAGAGATCCCCCAGGCTGGGCTGGGCAGTGGGTGGCCCCCCCCCCACCCCGGGCATGGCCAAGGGGGGGGCTTGCTGGATCCCTGGGGAGCCAGATTATTCCTAGCCAGAGGGGACCTGCAGAGAGGATTGGTGGGGGGAAGGTGCAGGGAGTCCCAGGGACCGGCCCAAGACACAGCTGGATCCTGCTGGGGGGAAGGGAAGCCGGG